ATATTATATAGAGTGCTAGAATACAGAGATATTATTTATTTAGGATCCGTCCTTAACTCCTGGAAGACGGAGTGTTATTTTAAGCAATCAGACCCTATCCCAGCATTTCACAGGCCGATTGATCCCTTTTTCTTCTCTGTAAATTGAAAACTGAAAAGATGTTTCTTATTTACAGATGAGTGGAAGTAATTTTTGACTTTTTTAACCCTGGTTCAAGTTTATTTTGCTTTTCAAGAAAGATGTAAGTGATAGGCTTCTACTGCATTCATAGGTTTTCTATGAATCCAGCAGAATTGCTTTCTGAATTAACACGTGTTTAATGAACCCTTATTAAATTAGGTAAGTTTAATTTTTTCAGAATTAAATGATTACAGGACACAAATACTTATTGAAAGATACACACACACACACACATAGACAACTGTAGACAATACATAAGGAACATTACCTTTGTCTGAGTTAAATCTCTCTCTCTCTCTCTTTCTCACAGAGACAGACAGACACAGTTGACTTAGGACAGAATTGCATCAGCATTGGCCTTGGGTCAATGAAAAGAGTGACTTCACTTCATTGTAGATTGAAGAAATGAGCATAAGAACAAATAGAGCCAAAAGCCCGAGATAGTGTCACATAGTCAAGGTGTTAGATAAATTGGCAATCACTTGAATTGAATGGTACGGGGAGAAGGAAGGGCATGGAATTGGTGAGCTGAGCCTGGAAAGATCGGTAGGATCAGATTACAAAAATAACCGTGTAGCATATGGAGTCTGGCTTCTATTGTAGTCGCCAAAGTGATCATTGAAAGTATAGAACACAGAAAGACAAAACAAGGGAATAGAACGTAGTGCGCAGTGGCAAACCCTTGACCTTGGATTACAAAACTGACTCACAAGCAGTCAGGAGAAGGTCAGGGACTAGCGATTGGACCAGCGGTGACATGGGGACCGGGGTGGGGGATCAGGAGCACTTGGGGGTGGGGTGCAGTAACTTTGTACCTTAAGGCCGTAAAATTTAATCACATTGTAATTGTCTTTTTTCTTTTCTTTTCCTTTTTTTTTTTTCTTTTGGGTCACACCTGGCGATGCTCAGGAGTCACTCCTGGCTTTGCACTCAGGAGTTACTCCTGGTGGTGCTCAGGGGACCATTTGGAATGCTGGGATTCAAACCTGGGTCAAGGCAAACAAATAGGCAGCCCTACCCGCTGTGCTGTCGCTCCAGCCCAATATTGTAATTGTCTTACCAAAATTATACTAATGGGGTTTTGTTTTTGTTTGTTTGTTTTCAAAAAGGTTTTGCAAACCTAAGTTTTAGGACAAGTTACTAGAAGTAATGTAGTCATGGTGTGGTAAATATACTGGACTCAATTTAGCGAGGGAACGGGAACTTACGGCAGTGACCTAGGCAGAGGGTGATGGGGACTTAATTCCGGATTCTTGCAGAAAATGAAAACTGATGACCGAGATCAGTAAAGACTGACATGATTTGGCCAAAATTAAGGTCAGAATTGTCTGTCAAAGAAGAAGGTGGTATGAAAGCCTTTCCGTTTTAGAGAGGTGCTGGGGGAGGGGCCTGCAGTGCTGGGACTCTAACTCAGGCCTGTGTGCTGGCCCTTGGCTGCATCCTCAGCCCCAACACACTCATTTTGACTTGCTGTAGCTAGGACTTTTTCAACAAAGTTTTCGTTCGATATAATGTGAAAGAGTTTAACCGTGCACCTTCTTTAGCACAAACATTTCTGAGAAATGTCACATGATGCTTATGACCACTTCAGAAATATTTTCCTGCTAATTTGAGTGCATGTGTGAAAAAATTGAAGTAGACAGAAGCACCTGTGATGACTTCTGGGTGACAGAATAAATCCAGCACCGATGCCACATTCCCACGCACAGTTCTCCTCTTTCTACCTGTAACTTTTACAATAGCCCTGGACATAATCTGAAACTCCATTGCTTAAACAGGTCCAAGTATAATAATTTTGATTCATCAGCTTTGTTGCAGTTCATAAGTCTTGCTATTGCAGGAACTACTGAAGCCACTTTCTAATACGGGAAACAGTAAAATGTGGAGTGAGCTGAAAATAGTAGCAGTGGCACAGTGATGAAATCTTCTTTTCTGTTAGTAAGCAGACACCCTTCCTCTTCGATAACTTGATCCCATTCTAGTTGTTTAGTAGGAGCGGTCGATGTCGAGTTTACTTGTCATTGTCTCTGAATAAATTTGAGTCCTCTTTTCTTGGTGGCTGTTTTTCCGTTTGTATAATTCAGATAATGAAATAAAATTTTATGTGTGTGCATGGTTGGAAGCCTTCTGCAGATCGTGCTGTCTAGAAGTCTTAAAGCTCTAAACCACTTGAGGACTGAGCTTCTCCCCATGCCCTTGCCCCATTTAGGATTTACTGCGTCTCTCCTGAGGGAGGGCTGTGGAAGCGGAAATGGGACTCTCCCCGCCCCATGCCTGGGAGTTCTCATCCTGCCCAGTCTTAATTTTTGGCTTTCCACACTAACAATCTGCAGTTTGCTCATTTCCAAGTAGTTGTTGTTTCTCTTATGGGGACAACGCAAAATGGTGTTTTATTCATTATATCTTTAAACGTGTTTACTAGTGATCTTGCCTGTGGGCCAAAGCTGGAGGTCAGAATCAAAATGGTAACAGAAACACGGTTCCATTCTCACTATTGATAGTCAGAAGCAGCATGTGGTTGGGAGCTTCAGAGAGGGAAGGACGAGGACGGAGCTGTAGAAAAAAGTGGGATCGTAGGTGTCTGTTGACCAGTTGAAATATTTCCCAGGCACTTTGTCATTTGTGAACCCAAGTATTTTATTAGGATTGTTTTCAAGTGAACAGGGAACCTAAGAGTAAGACTTAATGCAGAAAAGATGAATTGAACATCAGAAAAACAAGGACAGCGTGGACAGCAGTTATGTAGATCCAGATTGTTTAAGCAAGACTCCAGTAATCCCATATCCCAGTAACTTTATTGTGAAAAGTTCTTAGCATTCTAAATCACATATATAATTGAGTTGTTACAATGCACCGTAGACAACTACTATTAAATGATAACTCTGGTGTTGACTATTAGATGATAACTCTGAGTGGAACTACATTCAGAGTTATCATCTAATAGTTAACATGTAATAGTTGACTATTAAATTATCATTTTAAATTATCATATTAAATTGTCATTTAATAGTTGACTATTAAATGATAACTCTGAGTGGAACTACACTTGGGTGTTTCAGTTTATTGGAATTTTACTTTCAAACTTGACTTCCTTTAAAAAGTAAGACTAGATAAGATAGTCTTGCTATGTCAGTGTTTTATTTTTAAATGTTAAATGTTTAAAATCTAATAATTGCTTTACCGGACAGGACAGGAAGTTGACTGGACTGAACGCTTGCTTTGCATGTCGGAGCTCCCGGTTCAATCCCAGTCACTGCTGGGAGTGGTCCCTGAGAGGGGGTTGGGTGTTGCCCCTAGGCATTGATGGGTGTTGTCCAATACCAGATATTGGCAAAAACTAAATAGTTGCCGCTGGAGATAAGTGCCAGAGAATTGGCTTTTTAGCATTCCATTCATTCACGTATAAGATGGTATTAAAGCAAAAGATAGTTTTTCACTATTAAGTTTCAGTTTTTACCTTTTACATCAGTTTGTTTGAAAACCCTAAAAAGTATTAAATTTAAGGTATTTCGTGTTTTGTGTGTAGATATTGAAATATGCTACAAATGTTTAGTTTATTTTAGCCGAATTTATTTTGAGTGGAGCAGTTGAGTTAGATGATTTACAAAGGCTCTGGTTTTTTACAAAGGCCTTTTATATTTCATTTCTTTCATTTCTTATTTCATTCTTTAATTACGTTCAATTCTGAGATTTTAGCGGGCCATCTATTTCCTGGAGCAATAGCACAGTGGGCAGGGCGTTTGCCTTGTGTGCATCTGACCTAGGTGTGATTCCGCCCCTCTCGGAGAGCCTGGCAAGCTACCGAGAGTATCCCGCCCACACAGCAGAGCCTGGGAAGCGAACTGTGACATCTTCGCTATGCCAAACACAGTAACAACAAGTCTCAAAATGGAGACGCTGCTAGTGCCCGCTCGAGCAAATCCACGAACAAGGGGAGGACAGTGCTACAGTGCTATTTAATTGGGGGGTGGGGGCATCCCTGGATGTGCTCAGCGCTTACTCCTTTTTCTGCATCCAAGGATTACTCCAGATTGGCTCAGGGGACCGTATGTGGTGCTGGGGATTGAATCCTGATTGCCTGGGTGCAAGGCATGTCCCCAGCTTGCTGCATGGTTGCTCTGGCCCCATGAAACTTTTTTTTTTTTTTGCAGGGCCGAGGGGGTGGGGAGGAGAGAGGGCCACACTTGATACTCGGTGCTCAGGGATCTCTGTCTCTGTGCTTAGTGACCACTTCTGGCAGGCTCTGAGACTGTCGGGGTGCTGGGAATGAACTTGAACTGGCTCTGAGCCGGCTAGCTGGGCACAAGGCGAGCACCCAGTGAGCAGCATGATAATTCTTAGGCTGCTGTGCGCGCCCCCCCCCCCAACTTTCTGCTTTGATTCTTGATGTTGGGGAAAATCATGTGCATCTGCTAATTTTATATGCACTCGGCATTTCAAGTAGTAGATAGATTACTTAGCTCAATCGAAAAGAAAAATAACGGGGCGGATTGATGGTATTGGTGGGCAGTGAAGGCCCTTCCTTGCCTTGCAAGCAGCCAGTTCAGGTTCCTCGGGTTTCCCAACCCCCACCAGGAGGGCTCCTTGAGCAAAGGGGCAGGAGTGAGTCCCGAAGCACAGCAGGACGTGGAGGGAAACACAAAGCAAAGGAAAATACGTGGAAGTTCCGATCTGCGAGTTTATTTCACTAAAGACATGTTTGGTTGTGACAGTTTGAAATTTCCAATCAAAACGGGGTTTTTAGAGTTCCGTTCGTGTCATGTAGCCACATTGCTAATTGCATGTCGATTCTCAAAGTTTCTTTTTTTTTTCCCTTTCAGGATTTTCTCACTCAGCGTTTACCTTTGGTATAGAAAGCCATATCAGTCAGTCTAACATAAACGGTGCCCTCGTTCCACCTGCTGCGTTAATTTCTATCATCCAGAAAGGTCTACAATATGTAGAGGCAGAAGTTAGTATTAATGAGGTAAGGACGGCGTTTACAATGTTAATTTATTTTGTCAGGTGGAAGGGGCTGGGGGCCCCATCAGGATTTGTTGAGGGGTCAATCCTGGCAGGGCTTGCGAGGTCATAGGCAGTGACCGGGATTGAACCAGGCTCGATCACAGTTCAGTCAAGCCCCTTACCCTGTGTGTTCTGCCCCCATTCCCCACTCCTCTCTCCCCCATCAAATACTAATTCTTAACGATTTAATATCCCTTTCACCTGATAACTGTTTTTCAGTGTCCGACTTGAACTTTGCCATGTTACCAAAACTCGTTATTATTCCTAAGGTAGCTGTCAGGTCCCAGCAGAAAGGCAGGTGTCATTTGTTACAACCATTAATTATGATTCATTTACCTCTACCTGGTTTTATACATAAAGTAGTAAGAATTTTCTTTGGGAACAGCACCATTGTGCTGTGGAAGGCTAGATCGTAATAGTTGTTCAGAAAAGAAGAAAATCTCAAGCCGACCAATTTTTGAAGGCACTTTGTAACTACCAACAACTCTTGTCTAAAGGTCTGGATCTGTGGATGGTTTAAACCAGGTTATCACCTGTTTATGACTTGTGGGCAAATTTCTGCCTACTCCCTGTTTTTGTAAAGTTCAGTCAGCACAGCGAGACATATATATATATATATATATATATATATATATATATATGACATATATATATGACTGCATTTGTTGAATTATGGCAGAATGGAGTGATTGTGACTGGGAGCTTATGGCATACAAAGCCTAAAATATTTGCAATTGGTCTTTTATATCGAAAAAGCTTACACAGTCTTGTCTAGCTGTAATTTTTCATGAACTATAAGTTTGTGATATGTAGAGCCTTTCTTTCTTTCTTTCTTTCTTTCTTTCTTTTTTTTAATCTTGTTTCTGTTTTAGAATTAAATTATTTCACTTTTCACAAGTATTTTCATTGAAAATCTTTTTCACAGGGACCAACTTAGAGGGATGGGCGCGCGCGTGTGTGTGTGTGTGTGTGTGTGTGTGTGTGTGTGTGTGTGTGTGTCCCCATCCCCAGCAGGCCTGAGAGTTCTGTGATCCAGCTGGGGGTGCTGTGGCAGAGTGGACCCAGAACAACACCTGATGTTAGAGGGACCACTGGGTCCATAGAAGCGTTGCAGGTGGTGGTGGTGGCAAGTGCAGTGCCGGGCATGGAACTCACAGTCTCACGCGCCGATGTGCTCTGCCACTCTGGGCTGTCTCCAGCACCCTTTTTTCTCAAGGATTGTTTAGCATAGAAGTATTTACATGAATCCTTATTATTATCATTATTTTGTTTCCCAAAATGATTTGATGGTTCTGTTTCTTTATTTTCCTGACTGAAAAATTCCCTCGTAGTAATTCAGTATGGCCTCATTCATTGTCTTTTGGTACTTTGAGTTCCAAAGTAACCTGTACTGCACAATTTTCTCATCTGATTTCTTAAAAAAAAAAAAATTAAAAATTGTTTAGCTAGAACTTGTGTAGCACTCCCAGATGTATCTGTGTTGACTTTGGTTGTTTTGAGGAGTGCTCAGGGGTACTGAGGGCCACTCCTGGCAATTCTTGGCCGATGAGGTCAGTGTCCAGGGCAAGGGCCTGAGCGTGTGGTGCTGCTGGGGCCCTGCCGTGGGCGCTGGGTGTCCTGGGCCCCCTTGGTGCTCAGGGGCTCTTGGGCTGCTTTCAGGGATTATTTGGACGGTGGTGCTGGGAACTGAGCCGGTGTCTGCTGCAGCCGTGGCATATGCCATGCAGTTAACCCCTGTGCTGTCTGTCGCTTGCCCTGTCGTCAGTTGGGTGTTTTTTTTTTTTCAAGTGAGACACCATGAGGTACAGGTGTAGACTTAGAAATTTTTGTGCTTGGGTTTCAGTTATACAATGATCAAGTACCCATCCCTCCACCAGTGCCCATTCGGTTGGTTTCTCAGTTACTTATAAGTCACTTTCTCTTCCTCCTCAAAGAATTCCTTTATGGTGCTAGTGTACCGCCCATCGCTCACGGCTCCCCCCCACCCCCACGCGCGCCCCCGGTCAGTTTTCAGTCAACAAGTGGAGCGGCTTCAGGCCAGCTCTCGCCTGGGCCTTGTCTCGGCTTCTGGCTCTGCTTCCGCTGAGACTTGGTTGATGTCTGTGTCTCGGACTCCGTGGAAGCCTTTTTTAGTAATTGTAAAGTTCCTTTTTATCAAGCAGGGAAGGTTTCTGGAATTACTGCACCTTTGCAAAATGAAAGAGGCTTAGCCCCATGAGTCATGGCAGTGCTTCTTAATGTTATTGCACACGAAACTGACTCAGAGAAATGGTTGATACATGCCTGCCGGCTGGCTAGCCAGGTGCTTCTTGGCCTTCAGCCTCTAGTCCAGCAGCCGAAGACCTCTGGCCTCGGTAGCAGAGATTTTGGGTCTAAGGCAAGGATATGTGACTCAGTGGAGAGCACTTGCTTTTGCATAGATGAGGCCCTGGGTTCAGTCCCCTCACCACAAAGGGGAAAAAAATCCCAGTGTTTTTGAAAGCACAAACTATTTGTTTTTTTTTTTTGGGGGGGGGGGCGCACATTGCAGTGCTCGGGGCTTACTTCTTACTCTGTGCTCAGTGGAGCACTCCCAGTGATGCTTGAGGGACCATATGGGCTGTTGGGGATTGAACCCGGGTTGACTGTGTGTGAGGCATGCAGCCTACCTGCTGTGTCTTATTGCTTTGGTTCCATAAAGGCAGAGATTTTGGTTCTGTGGCTTAAACCTATTTTCCTAAGAAGCTGCCAGGTCACTGTGGTGCTGTTTTGCTGTGGGTCCTTGGAACATTCTTTGAATAGCATTGGTGATGAGAACCCAGCTGTCTTCAGCTATATACTTGTCGAAAAATGATGCACTTGCATCTCTACAATAGAAAATGAGTAGGTCTGGGACCTGGTATACGAAGTCTGTTTCTCTTTAAATGTTCAACTCAGTCACAGGTCTTTGGATGCCAACAGTGCTGATTTTTTTAATGTTTAAAAAAAAGTCTTCTATTGTGCCCTGAAGAGTATTAACTGTTGGCCATCCCAGCGGTATTTTGCAAGTTAGGCTTTCTATGATGTGTGCCTTTTTGCGGTTCCTTTCAGCGTTTTGACGCCAATATTTATTTGAAAGGTGCTTTTTTCCCTTGGGATGAAGATTTTTGCTTGCTGCGGTTGATTCTGCTTGAGTACCAGCTTCCCCGCGTGGCATCTCTGACCTGTCTTCCCTCCCCCTCCCCCACTCCAGGATGGTACCTTGTTTGATGGCCGGCCCATAGAGTCTCTGTCCCTGATCGATGCCGTGATGCCGGATGTCGTGCAAACGAGACAACAAGCTTACAGAGATAAGCTTGCCCAGCAGCAGGCCGCAGCTGCCGCAGCTGTCGCAGCTGCTGCCAACCAACAAGGGTCTGCGAAAAATGGAGAGAACACGGCCAACGGGGAGGAGAACGGAGCACACACTATCGCAAGTGAGCTCAGGCCTCGCGCGCAGTTCCCTTCCCGGAGCAATACGTTGTGTGACGGGACTGTCTCGTCTTCGGAGCTGCAATCACACCCTCTCTCTCATTTGTGTCAGCACACTCACTCATTTCTCGCGACCGGGATCGTATAATTGAGGTTTATTATTCCCAGGGCTTCAGAAGTCTCGGTCACTTTTATGAATTTTACTTTTTGAGTCTGTAGAAACATTTTTTCCCCCTCGCCACTGTTAGCTGGAATTTGCATTTGATTTCTAAATAAAATTTGCAAGACTAGTCATTAGCAAATGCAGGAAGGCTCAGCCACGGAGCTCCAGAGGCGATGTCCGTCCTGCCATCCGCTTGGTATCAGCAGCCCCTACTGGCAGAAACTCAGAATCGTATCGTGATGGAGACATTTGATTGAGACTGGCTTCTCCTTGAGCCATTCACTTTGGAGTCTCTTCCTGCGGAGTTGGTCTTTTACTCTCCCTTCGTGTCTTACCCACTGTAGCATATTCACAAATGATTATCTTTTTAAAAGAGTGTGGTCTGCCTTAACTGAAGGTAGAAATTTATGTTTTTGTGTTCTCAGGACTCATGTGATAGGTATAGTCATTATTTTATCAGCAACGTTTAAAAATGTGATACTCTATAGTATCAAGGTGTATTTGCAGATTTGTGCCCAGATGATGGTAGCGCCTAATGGAATTTTCCGCTTGTTTCCCATGACACAGATAATCATACTGATATGATGGAAGTGGATGGGGATGTTGAAATCCCTCCGAATAAAGCAGTTGTGTTACGGGGCCATGAATCTGAAGTTTTCATCTGTGCCTGGAACCCCGTTAGCGATCTCTTGGCATCAGGGTATGTTTCTCTTAAGCAAATCTGAGGTCAGTTTTTTTAAGGACTCCACTGAGCTGTTACTGGTATCCTTTCTTTTCAAGTCTTGGCATTGCTTGTTGTGGTCATTTTGACTCTGTGAAGCTTTAGTAGTCTCAGAAGTACTTTGCTGTTACTTAGAAGTGTGCTGCAGTGAGCTGACGGCTTTAAGAGCGCTTGGGGGCCCCCAAACCGGAGAGTTAAAACTGCTCTTCTTTGCCGTAGTAAGGATAGGCCGCAATGCTCCGATTCGGGGGTACTTGGAGATGTCGAGAAAATCTTTCAAATCCGTTGCCTGTTTTCCAGGTCTGGAGACTCCACCGCAAGGATATGGAATCTTAGTGAAAACAGCACTAGTGGCTCCACACAGTTAGTCCTTAGACATTGTATACGAGAAGGAGGGCAAGATGTCCCCAGCAACAAGGACGTGACGTCTCTAGATTGGAATGTGAGTATGGCTGGACTGTCCCGACCATCCACGTGCAGTATCCTCAGCACCTCGGAGCACCAAGCGAAAAATGTTTAAGCGGGACTCTGTCCGCTTGTTGGGGCACTTTGAAATTTCACTGCCTTAGAGCAAAAACGGGGAGCCCCCACTTCCACATTGAGAAGCAGGTGGGGGCGGGGGTGGAGAACTTCAAGGAGCCCTGGCGCCGCATGGTATGGGAGCACTTGAGAATCAATCTGGAGTCCTGCAGGGGCTAACGCGAAACAGAAGAATCTTGGCCCTCAGGCAGGCAGACCAAGGCCCAAGGCCCGAACTGAATGGGATGAGGGATCTGCCATTTTTCCTCATTTCCTCAGTGCGGTGATAGTCTCTCCATACATGAGGAAACAGAGGAAAATCATAACGGGCACATGCACAGAACTTTGAAATCTTTTGCATGTGCAGGGGTGGGGGGGATCCCTATAATGAAGACATGCTTTTTCTTGCTGACAAAACCCTCACTGTCCATTAGGAACCGTTTGTCTAGAATATTGCGGGGCTTTCTTTCAGTAGTAAGGATTTTTTTTGACTCTTTGATTCATCATCTTTCGGGGGTGACTATGGCTTATCAGAAAGTATGATGTCATTGTAGATAGATAACGGTTCATTCTTTCAGTTTCACACAGGACGAGCTACTTAGCTTGTTTCAACCCCTGTGATTGATTTGGTGAAGATGAGCACATTGAAAGTTTCTCTGACTTTATTTCTCAGTGGCCTTTCTTTCCTGATAATCTTGCATCTGTATTTTCACTTCTCCATCCCCAGCTGTCCCATTCTAAGAAGCGTTGTGGTGACTTGAGTTTTACCCAGAAGTCATCTTAGGGTCCGCCTCCTTCAGCGTGTGCATACTTTCTTTCTCCTCTTGCCTCTGTTTAAAAAGATCTTTCAAATAATCTTCCAGGTCTCGCACTGTAGGAGCAGAGAAAGCTCAGAGGGCTGAGTGCATGCTTGGCATGCAGAAGGTCCAGGTTAATAATAAATACCTCATCGTCCCAAGTTCTGTCCCCAGAACCCCCTCTTCCCCAGAGAGAGAATCCCCCAGGATGCAGAGCAAAGAGTCGCCCCCCAGCGTCACTGGGTGTGTCACAAAAAAACAACAACAGCAAAGATTCGAACAGAAAGAGTTGACTCCAGCTTAAATTCTCAGTTTCTGTGAAATTCTTCCAGGACGCACAGCTGTGGGTTCTTGTTTGTTTTTTTTTAATTGTTTTACCATTCCCTTCCAGAGTTTCTGGCAATGTTTTGGGTCTCTATTTTGTGTTTGTTTGGTTTTTATTTTTCGGTTTAGTTTTTGGACCACACTTGGTGTTGCTCAGGAATTACTCCTGGCTCTGTAATCAGGGCGTACTCCTGGAGGGCTCAGGGTACTTTATGGGGTGCTGGTGAATCAAACCCGGGTCAGCTGCGTGCAAGGCAAGCACCTTCTGTCTGTACTACTGCTCTTCCCACCCCAACCCCCAGCAATATTTTTAACCACACACACGCAGACACACGTACACGTGATTGCAAGTTTTGAAAATAAAAGGTATATATACCACATTCTAGTATTTAATGGGCAGGGCAGACACCATCATTATGAAAGTGGGCTTCCCAGAGCAAGAATTATCCATTATTCTACTAATCGTGAATGTGATTGTGCTGACTCCGGAGATTTCCCGGGGTGTGGGACACTCCGCCGCATAATTGCTGCTGCTGGTGGTGGGTGGTGGGGAGGAGAGGCCAGTGTTGAAGGGGATGTTTGCACTTTGTCCCAAGGGAGGTGGGATGGAAGGGTTTTCTTGTTAATCTGGGACTCTATTGTGTTTTAGGTCAGTACCCTCCCAGACCAGGGCAGCTCGGCCCCGAGACCATATTAATTTAATGCCATTTGTAGTTCACACTGTTGCAAAGGACGATTGATGACTATTGGTTTGTTGAACTTGGGGGTTTTGAACTTTAAGCTGTGATTTTTTTAAAGTGTAGACTACGGAACTGTATTACTCACTATGAAATTGAATCTTCAGTTAAAGCAGGAGAACGTTATCCTTGGTTAATAGTTATTTTCAATGATGAAAGCAAGCACTTGTGCGGTAACAGACCCCTGAAGTATCAGCTTCCACTTTAGTGGTCTTCCAACTGAAATACCGAGGAACCATTTCTTTAAAGAAAATTTCCCACTGCACATTATCTCAAAATAGGCTGTTGCCATTGGCTTCAGCATGAACTTCTTCCTTGGATAGAACTATTGGGGCTTTCCAAATCCAGGCAGATTTGAATCTATCTATGCCCCCCCCATAACCGTCATTTGTCACTTATCTGTACATCTGCATGGAGGAACGTGACATTGTCCCCCCCCCCCATTTTTTTAGCATTTTACAAAAAAGTATCAAGATGCTACTAAAATTCTGTGTCTCAAGTACTGTTTCGTCATCCCAAAGTCAGTCTGTTTCGTGTACAAATTAACTCGCACCTCAGCAGAAAAATTAGATCATTCACTAGTGTCTTTTTCTTACACAGTTACTGAAAGGCCAGCACAGCAAGGGCTCATTAAGATCAAAGAACTTGCCTATTTTCCTTAGTTCCGTGTGTACTCGATGACCTCTAAGGTATCCCTGCAGTTTTGTGTGTGTTGCTTTTTTACCGATAAGGATTTCATAACTGGACGGAAATCACAAGAGAGGAACAACTGAGTGCAGTTGTTCTGAAATAGGATCGCCGGGAGCACTTGCGCCCATTGAAACAGTGCTAGAGGGAAGAGGTCCGGAAACTTGTGTTGGTGATGGAATAGTTGGGAGAAGGGTGATGTTGGCTGCAGGGTAGTTGGTGCCACTCGGGAGGTCGGAGAGCTGCCTGCAGCCGCCCCTGTGCCGGCCTCCTTCTAGCAGTGGCTGGTGCTGCTGAGGCTGGGGCACTCACTGCCGGACAGAAGCTGAGGTGCTCTGCAACAGAACTGCAGCTCCTCTGTGGCTGTGCTTGGGACGTAGGTGTGAAGTGTTTGGGAGCAAATGCCTTTCTAGGTCGTGCGATTTCAAGAAGTGTGTTTCTCCGACAGAGCGAAGGGACACTTCTAGCAACTGGTTCATACGATGGATTTGCCAGAATATGGACTAAAGATGGTAAATGAAGCATTTTTTTGTTCCTTTGAGGTTGCCAGTCTCTGTTATTTTTAAAATTTAGAGTAACTGTGTTTTCCTTTTAATTCCAGGTAACCTTGCTAGCACCTTGGGGCAGCATAAAGGTCCGATATTTGCATTAAAATGGAACAAGAAAGGAAATTTCATCCTAAGCGCTGGAGTAGATAAGGTAAAAAGCACATTCAACTAAGGTGTTTGTAAACTAATTTGTTAGAGATTATAGTTGAAAGTCATCATGTTCTATGCACCCACATAATAAAACATTCACAGTTTAGGAATTTAAATGTGAATTTTGTGATAATCACAGAAATGCTTTCTGAGATTTTTCTGTCAATCCTGAGTTATCAGAGGTTCTTAATTCTTCAGCTTTATGACGACTCACTTTTGCTGCAATTTGAGTCACATTGGATGTCCTACCTCTGATGTTCCTGCTTTTTTTCCTTTCAGTTTCTAATTTGTCTCATCAGTAACTGTGTCCCTGGAGTGATTCCTTGGGATATAAGTCTTAGAAGCAGTCTGTTGTCTGAACTCTTAGGGTTCATTGGAAACGTAAGAAAATGCAGGCCTTGAGCCAGGAAGAGTGGCTGATGCCTTAGGGGATATGCTTAGGGGCCACTTCCTGGCCCCGCCCACATCAGGGCCTCCTGCAGTGCCGCTCACTCCAACCCAGCCTTGTGGTGAGAGGCTACTCCAGGAAACTAGATGCCGGGTTGTTCCACCTCTCTTCCCAAGGCAGTACCAGGGCTCAGCTGCATGGCTGCAAGCACCTTAACCATGTGCTTTCTCTCCTGGCCATAAGATTATTTAAATTTTTTTAACTGAATCACTGCAAGATTCACAGTTACAAAGCTTACAGTGTTCCAGCACCCATCCTTCAGTGTACATTTCCCACCACCAGTGTCCCCAGTTCCCCTCCACACCCTCACCCCTGACCCCCAATAGGATGTGTGGGGGTTTTTTTGTTGTTATTTTTGGGTTTTTTGCTTTTTGGGTCACACCCGGCGATGCACAGGGGTTACTCCTGGCTCTGCACTCAGGAATTACTCCTGGCGGTGTTCGGGGGACCCTACGGGATGCTGGGAATCGAACCCAGGTCAGCCACATGCAAGGCAAAAAATGCCCTGCCTGCTGTACTATCGGTCCAGCCCCAATAAGAGGATTTTTAATCCAGGGAAGCTCATGCTCATTGATTATTGAATGTGTTTTCACAAGGGAAGTAGGAAAATAAAGGAAAGGAAAATCAAGAAGGCCAGAAGTGGGAGTAAAAAGCTTTGCTAATGTCTGTTACACAGTATTTTACTCCCAAAGTTATAAAATTACTAATGGGAGAATATTAAAAGGAAATCTCAAAGTGTCCATTCCGATTTTTATATTAAATTTTGATGTAATTTAATGGACATTGTTTTAAGTATTACAAAAATTTAAGCTGTCTTTTTAGTGTAAATATGAGCTCTAAAAAATCTTAATATTTAGAATTATCTATTTTTATTAGTCAAGATTGTGCCTTATAAGCTCTATATCAGGCAAAATCTTACATTTTTGCAGTAGATTTCCTTAAGAAGTTTAATGTGTGATTCTTGGTAGCCAGTGATTGTTATTTAAAGTAACTTGTTATTTAATAGCCAGTGATTGTTATTTAAAGTAAGTTGTCTAAACAAGCACCCGATAAAAAATTTTAAAGCAATAATCGTGATTCCTTTCCACCAGATGAATAAATAGATAAATAGAGCCTTTTCTTTTGAGATGAAGCGTATGCTACAGATCACGTTTGCTCTTCTTTCTTTTCTATTGCTTCAACATAGAAATTTCACTTGTGTCTGTTGATGAACCTGTTCTAATCTTTGACCTCTTATTTTTCCTTCCAACATCAGACGACGATTATTTGGGACGCCCATACCGGGGAGGCCAAGCAACAGTTTCCTTTTCACTCAGGTGAGCTTAAACCGTTTATCGGAGAACCGGAACCTTGTTCTGTTGTTCTGGTTACGCTTTCGCCAGCCCTATGGCTCCTTTGCAGCCCTGTCTACTGGGCAGGGTGGAGAGACCCTGGGCCGGGCACTTGCCCTGCGCACTCCCGAGCCGGATTCCCTCTTGGGCACCACACGGACGATCCCTGAGTGCAGGGCCGGGAGGAAGCTGAGGTTGTGAGGCGTGGCCCCAGAACCAATGCAGATTCTTTTTTTTTCTGAAGCAAAATCGTTTTTACTGAAAGAAATTTAGAGGAGACATGTGAGGGGAAGGAGGATACGTGTTCAAGAGAGAACATGGACTTCTCCACAGTGGAAAAAGTCTGGAATGGTCCTAATCAATCCGCCTGATGATACATATTACCTGGGTTTGTTACTGTCACTGTCACGGTCACTGTCCTCCTGTTGTTCATCGATTTGCTCGAGCAGGCCCAGTAACGCCTCCATTGGAGACTTTGTTGTTACTGTGTTTGGCATATCGGATACGTCATGGGGAGCTTGCCAGGCTCTGCCGTGCGGGCGAGATACTCTCTCTCGGTAGCTTGCTGGGCTCTCCGAGAGGGGCGGAGGAATCGAACCTGGCTCAGCCGTGTTGGCCCCGTGCAAGGCAAATGCCCTACCCACTGTGCTATCGCTCCAACCCGGTTTTGTTACTGGGTCTAGTTATTATATTTGTAATTGTAAGAGGATCACCAAGCATTTTCTTTAAACGTAACATAAAAGGCACTTGCAGCTTGGTGCCATTGGGGTTGGTATTAATTAATGTTAAGAGTGGAGATATTTTTAATTAGGAGGCATAGGTTTGAATGGCACTTTCACCCTCCTTACTTTAAGGCTAGTAAGTCAGCGATTTACACCTTTCTGAGCCTTATTTTCTCTGTCTGTATGTGAGGGATATTAGTCATGCCTATAAGGATAAAACAAATGTATCTGAAAGTTCTGTCCACATTCCTGCTAATTTACAGGCTTTCTCTTGTCACTTTGGATTGATGACCCAGTTAAAATGGGATTGATAAACCCAGATAAAACATTGGTACCTTAAAGAGGTTTTTCTTTTTAAGAAATAAGTTACTATTTAAAATCTTAATCTCGCTCTCTCTCTCATACACACACACACACACACACACACACACACACCCACGCACGCACACACCCATAACGTGCTCCTTCCAGAAGATAGGCTGCCGTGCACCCTTCTACTCTAGAACATTTATTCCTAACCGTAGTAACTGATGTTAAATTGGAGCAAAATGCCTAATGACTTGGAACAGTGACTTCAGTATTACCTGACTTAATGCTTAAGCTTTGTGGTGGTTGGGAAGAGTTTTGTTCCAAAAAATGACTTCAGGGGCTGGAGCGATAGCACAGCGGGTAGGGTGTTCGCCTTGCATGCGGCTGACCGGGTTTGATTCCGAGCATCCAATATGGTCCCCCATGCACCACCAGGAGTAATTCCTGAGTGCAGAGCCGGGAGTAACCCCTGAGCATCGCTGGGAGTGACCCAAAAAGGAAAAAAAAAATGACTTAAGTGACTGTTTCAAATATTTGGTAACATCACAAATGATGGTGCTCACCTATAAAATTGGAATTAATTCAATGACTTTTGCAGTCTTTTTTTTTCTTTTCAGTATAATTAAACTACAGAATTTTTTTTGTATATCACGATTATATGGCCTTATGTTAAGTAGCACAGTTTAAAAAAGCACATTACATTGTCTTTTTGTTGGTCAGCATTTACTTTTCATTCTCTAGACCTTTGTCTAAGTCCTCATCAAGAGAGAATTCTCTTTGTCGTCCGCCTATTTATTTTTTTTGAATTTCATTTTCATTAGGTGGTTCACATTCATTGCTTCTATTCAGTATTTCAACACCAATCCAGCCACCATTACACCTTCCCATGCCGTTATTTCACATTTGTCCACCATCTTTTGAGTCTGCCTGCTAGGGCAGTTGCTAGATGATTTATTTCTATTGCTCAGTATGGCTATCATGAGAGTCGTGGATGTGTGATTCTGGAATTCTAAAATTGTAAGTGGTTGGGGTCCAGAGACATCTCAGTAGGGAGCTAGTCCATTTTGAGATTCAGCTGGGAGTCTCTGGATCAAGGCCTTGATGCGCTGAGATGGTTCCGGAGGCAGATTGTGGAGGCCACAGCCCGCACCCCACGTGGTAAGGGAGATGGGATGTGGCCTGGCGTCTTAGTGCTTGAACCCACGTACCTGAGTTTTGTTTCTGGAAGCTCGTGGCCCCTGGGGTTTCATCTGGGGCGTCAGAGAGGGCACACCCGCTCCGTCTGTGCACAATTCGAATAGATGTGGCTCACTGCCTGCAGTTTCTATCTTCGTTGTCTACGCACCAACATCTCATTATGATGAAAGAGAAATCGAGAAGTTCTACATGGAGCTAGAGAAGTTCTATAAAGAAGACCACACCTTCTACAAGATCATTGTGGGTGATTTTAATGCCAAGATAGGACCGAGAAGATCAGCTGAAGAACTTCACATCGGGACCCATGGCCTAGAATGGAACGAACAGGGTGAGAGACTGTCTGAGTTCATCATGTCGACCAAGACCATTCATGGTAACTCACAGTTCCAGAAGGCAGAATCTAAACGATGGACATGGGAGTCTCCCGGTGGACGATTCCACAACGAAATAGACCACATCATATTCAATCGACGGTTTTGCCTGACTGATGTCGCTGTTGTCCCAAAATTTCGAACGGGATCGGACCACCGTCTCCTTCGTGCAAAATTCTACTTCACAGAGCGGGGAGAAAGGGCTGCAAAGTTCAAAAAGAGAACTCCCAGAATGACCACCAACTGGGAACTCTTTGGTACTTTTGCGGAAACATGGGAAGATGCCATTGTTGACAACATTGACGAGGAATACGATCGACTGGTTCAGCACCTCCATGAATGTGCGAGGAACGCCAAGAGAGAGATAGCCACAAAAAGTCGCCTATCTTCGAAAACTCTTGAGCTAATTCGCCAGCGTGGTTTGGCGCATGCCTCAGGCAACCGCAAGCTAACGTCCGAGCTTGCAAAGCAGTGCAGAGATGCGATCAAGGAAGACCTCAAAGAGAGAAGAGCTGAAGTACTGGTAGATGCGGCAGAAGCCAGGAAAAGTATTCGTAACGCCCGCCTGTCCTTCGCCAACTATAAGACCAAGATGACTGCCCTCCGACGTCCTGATGGATCCATCACATCCTCCAGAACGGCAATGGAGAAGATTATCCATGACTTCTACTCAAATCTCTTCGATAGCCATGTCCACTTGCCAACATACCAAATTCCACAGGATGGGTATGTTGTTCCCAACGTTCTCCCCTCCGAAATCCGACATGCCATTTCGTCGGTAAAGAAACAAACAGCACCCGGCCCAGACAAGGTCAGACCTGAGCACCTGAAGAACCTGCCGTCAGTACTCATCAATACACTGGCTCGGCTCTTCACTTGCTACCTGTCTGAATGCAAGGTTCCGTCCCAATGGAAAACCAGCAGGACCGTACTACTGTTCAAGAAGGGAGACATCCATGACATTGGCAACTATCGCCCGATCTGCCTATTGTCTGTCATCTACAAGCTGTTCACTCGAGTCATCCTGAATAGGATTGGCAGAACACTAGATGAAGGACAACCATGCGAGCAAGCAGGGTTCCGCAAAGGATTCAGCACCATCGACCATATCCACACGGTAACCAAGCTCATTGAGGTTTCTCGGGAGTTCAAGATGCCGCTCTGCTTAACGTTCATTGATTTAAAGAAGGCCTTTGATTCTGTTGAGACGGAAGCGGTCATTGAAGCCCTAGCCAATCAGGGCATTCAAGCCCAATACATCAGGATCCTCCGTGAACTGTATTGCGGATTCACTACCAGGATCTCACCATTCTACAAAGAAGTGATCGTTGATGTCAAGAGAGGGGTGCGGCAGGGTGATACCATTTCACCGAAACTCTTCAGTGCCACCCTCGAGAACATCATGCGACGACTGGAATGGGAAGGAATGGGAGTGAAGATAGATGGTCGGCAACTACACCACCTCCGCTTTGCTGATGACATTGTTTTAATAACACCAAACATCAGCCAAGCGGCACAAATGCTGGCCGACTTTGACCGTGAGTGTGGAAAGGTAGGACTACAGCTGAATCTTACGAAGACAATGTTTATGAGAAACAGCCTTGTTCCTGACGCCCCATTCGCTCTCAATGGAACGACCATCTCCGAATGCAACAGCTATGTGTACCTAGGTCGAGAGGTCAACATGACAAATGACCTGGCACCCGAGCTGCGCAGGAGGAAGAGAGCGGCTTGGAACGCCTTCAAGAACGTCGAAGAAATAGCTAAGAGGACGAAGAACCTCCGGCTCCGGGCACATCTCTTTGATTCCACTGTTCTTCCTGCATTAACATATGCCTCAGAGACCTGGGCCCTACACAAACAAGATGAGAACGCCATTCAGGTCTCCCAAAGAAGAATAGAAAGAGCTATGCTTGGAATATCACGTTTCACTCAAATGAGAGAACGAATCCGGAGTTCTGACATCCGTCGACGATCAAGGATCAGGGACGCTGTCTCATATGCCAAGGTGTCGAAAATCAGATGGGCTGGTCACGTAATGAGATTTAAAGACGACCGTTGGACTAGAGCTGTTACTGATTGGATTCCACGGGATGTCAAAAGACCGCGTGGCCGCCCACCTACCAGATGGTCAGACTTCTTTGTCAAGATCATGAACGATCGGTTTGAGGCCCTCCATGTTCCCGGAGCGAAGAGATGCCATTGGGCTACACTAGCACGCGACAGGGACAAACGGAGACGTTACTGGCGCCCGCTCGAGCAAATCGACGACTAACGGGAAGTTAAGTGATTAAGTGATTTGTCCACGAATGTATTTTTCATAAGGTTGCTTGGGGAAATTAAATATGTCATGTGGAGTCTCAAATTCTGTTCTTCCACTTAGGAAGTTTCTAATAAATGTTTGTTGATTTAATCCAGGCAGCATCCTCATCCTTGCTTTTCCATTGTTTCAAATATACCAAAGCAAATTTTTGTAGTTTAGGGAGTGCCTGGGGTCATCCTGGGGGGTGGGGGTTGCTTGCAGCTTGATTCTTGGCTTCATGTTTGAGGATCACTTCTGGTGACCTCGGGGAAATGTGTTGGGTGCCAGGGATTGAACCCGGGTCGACATCCATGTACAAAGCAAGCACCTTACTGGATGTGCTATCTCTCTGGCCCCAAAACATTTTTTAAACATTTTGATTGTATACCAGGTATTGTAGATCTCTGAGCACATACTCTCACTTGTTTCTTTCATTTTCTACTTGATTTGTCTTCAGCTAGTGAAACCAGTTTCACCATAGCCTATAGTTGTCTTTTAAAAAAGCTGTTTCAGTTCGGAAATCTGTGATTCGATTTTCCTCTTTGAATTATCGATATACTGATTCTTTAGTTTCCTTTTTTCTTTTTGTCCTTTTCCATTGTTTAAATACTTGCACATACCACTATTTGGTTTACCTCTCTGTCTGTGCATAAAATCTGGTGTTTATTTAATATCAGTAATGCTAGTTACTCTTATTTAGGCATAAGCAATGGGGAGTGACTTTATATTTTCTTCTCAAAATGCACTTTTTGACCTCCATTGTTGAAAAAGATTAAATCTCTAATGAGAATATGCAGCTACGCTCCTTTTTCCCTTGTCACTAAGCTTTTGCTTTAAGTTATAAACTAATTTATAAAGGAATTGAAAGTAGGATTTATATTGCCAAAGCAGTCGTAGATGAGGTGTAAACCAATACTCTTGGCTGGTTTTACTAAAACTTCACCTTTGCCCACTGAAATTCTAATTTCATACAATTTCCATGAACATAGTTCATCTTTTGATCACATCATCAAAATTTGTGTCTTCTGATGTTTTTTTCTCCTTCCCAGTTAATTGGAATGCGAAAAGTGTTCTTGGCTAATGGGCCAAAATTGTAGATCCCCTTCCTTAAATCCAGTGTTTTGGGTAGGCTCCTACTGCACAACCCAATTACTTGGTATCAGTACCTTGATTTTCACTGCTAATTATAGAGGGCCTTTGCACTTTGGTCCAGAGGAAATGAAAAAAATACTTAGTTTTTATGTATTAAATGGGCTGGAGCCATCGCACAGCGGGTAGGGCATTTGCTTTGCCTGCAGCCGGCTGACCTGGCTGACCTGAGTTTGATTCCTCCGCCCCTCTCAGAGAGCCTGGCAAGCAACTGACGGTATCTTGCCTGCACGGCAGTGCCTGGCAAGCTCCTCGTGACGTATCTGATATGCCAAACACAGTAACAACAAAGTCTCACAATGGAGATGTTGCTGGGCCCACTCAAGCAAATCGATGAACAACGGGAGGACAGGAACAGTGAAGTATTAAATACCAGCTAACTTTTGGTCCTCTGAGGCATTTTGATTCAGTAATATAGATTCAAAAAACAAGTCCCTTGGAAGAAAATGTATTTGCAAGTCTTTGCAATATTCAGTTACCAGTTGATAATGGAAATAAAATGAGAATAGATAATGGGACTGACTCTTGCTCCGTGTAATACTGGTTTGACTTGTAATTTAAAAAATTCCAATTAATGTACATGATTTCACTTGATCTCTATAATATCCTTGGGTATCAAAAGTTCTATCCCCATTTCTTAGACAAGAAGATAGCCTGAGAGGGGCCGCAGTGATAGTACAGATAGTAGGGCATGGATGGTTCAGGTTCGAGTCCTACGACTCCAGGTGATTTTCCACACTCTGCTAGGAGATTGATCCCTGAGTGCAAAGCTGGGAGTAAGCCCAAAGCACTGCTGGGTGTGGCCCTAAAATAAGACAAACCAAAAAAAAAGAAAAAGAAAAAGAAGTAACATGAGCGTTTAAGTAACTTGGTTAGGATTCATTAGTTATGGAGTAAGAGAACCAAATGTAAATAGAGGTATACAGTATCATGTTTAATTGATCGTTTTACAAATGAGGTAGCAAGAGTGATGGTATTGGTAATCACAGAGTCAGCTCTCATCCTGATCTTCCTTGACCTGACCAGTGTACTTTCTCTCACACTTTATCACACAGAGTCAGAGACACGGAAGTGTGTTAATGTTTGTGATGATTAGGTACCATTTTTTAAATTTTGTAGTTTTAGAAGTATATGACATCCTTAGTCTAGAGAAGCTATCAACTTGCTTTTTTTTTTTTCTTTTTGGGGTCACACCCAGCGATGCTCAGGGGTCACTCCTGACTCTGCACTCAGGTATTACCCCTGGTGGTGCTTGGGGGACCGTCTGGGATGCCAGGGATTGAACCCAGGTCTGCCGCGTGCAAGGCAAACACCCTACCCACTGTACTATCTCTCCGGCCCCGCTATCAACTTGTTTTTTGGGGGGTGTTGCAGTGTTGTTCCTTAATAAAACGTGGGAACAGCCAACCTCGGGAATAGACTAAATCGATTTTGGTACATCAAGCCTGGCAAGCTCCCCGTATGCCAAAAACAGTAGCGATAACGGGTCTTGTTCCCCTGGCCCTGAAAGAGCCTCCAACACGGCAGCTTTGGGAAGGACGAGAGGGGAGGCTGCTAAAATCTCAGGGCTGGGCGAATGGAGATGTGACTGGCGGCCTCCCAAGCAAGTCGACGAACAGTGGGATGACAGTGCTGCACAGCACTGTAGTGTCGTAGTTGTAGCCTGCAAACAAAGTGCAAAGCTCCTCTCTTTTCTCCTCCCAGCACCTGCATTGGATGTTGACTGGCAGAGCAACAACACCTTCGCGTCTTGCAGCACAGATATGTGCATTCACGTCTGTAAACTCGGACAAGACAGGCCTATTAAAACATTCCAGGGACACACGGTGAGTCTCCCGCCTTCTTCCTCCCCACCCTCCTTTCAGGTGGCTCTGATTGTTCGTGTTTCAGAGTGATCTCAAAACTGCGTGTTTGTTTTCGATGGAATAGCCCCATATATTAAAACAAAATGACAAAATGAAAATGTGAACATTTGCTGTTGTTTTTTAGAATGAAGTAAACGCTATCAAGTGGGACCCGACTGGCAATCTCCTGGCCTCCTGTTCTGATGACATGACTTTAAAGGTAATTGGTGGTGAATAGTAGTAGGAAGATGTAGTTGCTTTATTTTTTAAATAATATTTAAAATTATTCTAGATTATTGAATGTTTAAATTTGGGTGAGGACTTACTCTACTTGTATAATTGCTAGTCATCAACATGTATATTTCCTGAATGCCCAAGATATTTGACTAATGCAAATAAATTTTGTTTAAAAGAATGACTCCATGAGGAGAGCAAAGTGCTGGTCCAAATCGCCTTCACTATGAGAGCCATAATATTGGTGGAATTAAGATTCTTTGCACATAGAAAGATGGTGATTAATAAGTGATGAAATCTTCATGGTACTTGTAGATTTGACTGAAATTCTATGAATTGTATTGACTTGGTGCAATACAAATATATATCAATCTCATTGGGAAAAACTGGTAGCAGGAATTGCTTATGGATGGGCTTAGTTTACACGTCAGAGTGCACATCTCATCATGAATGAATGTTTTTCTTGTTACATGACTAAGAACAAACACCTTGGCACCTGTGCATGTGAAATAACACAGGAATAAAGCATTTTGTGGTAAAGAATACCCCTGTACTGAGACTTATCAGTACTGTTATCAGTGACCTTGTCAACTATGGTTTAATTTATATTACCAAAAATCATGTGCTTGAAGAATGAACACAAAAATGTTTCCTTAGCGGAAAGTTAATGAAGATTGTTGTATCTCACCATGAAGCCATTAAGCCCTCGTGTAAGAGATTACTAACATTTTGTTTCAGTTAAGCCTTGTGTATTTATATGTTGTTAGTCAGGATTGGCCAGCTTCTACATTACATCCATCCAACCTGATGAGCTGCTCCTGATTTATCACTGTTGTCGTTGGAGATGTCCAGGAAGTCAGAAAATTTTAATGGGGTGATAGAGCTGGAGTTAATTTTTAACTGTGTGGCGGCCTTGGGGTGTGGGCGTGACCGCCGAGGCTTCCAGATGTACTAGGAAGTGGTGGGAGGTGGCCCATTCCCACTCCGGGAAAGCCTGGAAATTTCTGTCATAAGACCTAGGTACCTGAGATTTTCAACCGATTGATGTCTGGATGAGTTTCTTTTCGAGCAGTGGAGTCCAGCTGGGGGTCTGGGGCTGGCTGTGGAGTGCAGATGCTTTGGGCTGCTGGGGCTCTGTTTGGGCGGGCTCTGGGCTCGCTGCGAATGTTCCTTGATCTTTAAAGTCACTGTTAGGGTTTGCCACTGAGCTTTTGTGCTGGAAAGATGATATTTTGAATTTTCCCTTTGTTTGGAAAAATAATACACTTTCTCCCCATTTTATTTAGATATGGAGTATGAAACAAGACAGTTGTGTCCATGATTTGCAAGCACATAATAAAGAAATTTATACTATTAAGTGGAGTCCAACAGGGCCGGGGACAAATAACCCAAATGCCAACCTTATGCTAGCAAGGTAATTCTTCTATTTTATTTCTTTATGGATCATGTACAGAGAAAGCTTTATCGATGACACTACGTTTCATATTTGGAGATAGTAACTGTTTACTGATGTCAAACACTAAAACTGAGGTACGTGAGCCATAGAATAATAAAATTTCTTCAGCATTATAAAAACTCAAAGTGGGGATGATGGTTAAGGGACCCCTTGTCCATGGCAGTGGCAGGAAGCGGACACCTGGGTGGAGGGTGTGGTGTGTGAAGTCCTACTGACAGCAGTTTATAAATCCTGGTGTCCAAAATAGCACTGTAGCACTGTCGTCCAGTTGTTCATTGATTTCCTCTAGCAGGCACCAGTAGCCAGTCTTCATTGTGAGACTTGTTGTTACTGTGTTTGGCATATCGAATAGGCCACGGGGAGCTTGCCAGGCTCTGCTGAGCGGGCGGGATACTCTCAGTAGCTTGCGGGGCTCTCTGAGAGAGGTGAAGGAATCGAACCCGGATCGGCCACATGCAAGGCATACACCTACCTGCTGTGGTATCGCTCCGGTCCGTGTCCAAAAGGAAAATGAAAAAAAAAGATAAACGTGGTTTGTGGCCCAGAGATGTGGCTCAAGTAGTACAATAGATGCCTTGTGTGTCTGATCCTGGAATTCAGCCCCGGCACCCCATGGTGCGATTCAAGTCCAGCTGGGTTTGGCACGTCAACAACCATAGATACTGCGAGTACAGTACAGAGCCAGGGATCTGTATGAATGAATTCTCCAGAGAGCAGGAAAGTGTGGTTTTCTCATTTTTGTTTAGAAATTTGGAAATTTTGAGAATGCTTTAGGGCTGTCTTTATGCCTCTAAAAATGCTTCATTTCGAGACAGTTTCTTCCTGACAGCGGGCTTCTCGTAGGGAGTGTGTAGTTACCAGGAATGACTGGCTGTGTGCATGATGGTCAGCTGAGAGTCTTTGGGCATTTACCAAATCACTCTTTTTCTTCCTTATCAGTGCGTCCTTTGATTCTACTGTTAGATTATGGGATGTAGACCGAGGGATTTGCATCCATACTTTGACAAAGCACCAAGAGCCTGTATACAGTGTAGCTTTCAGCCCTGATGGCAGATACCTGGCCAGTGGTTCTTTCGACAAATGCGTACACATCTGGAACACACAGGTATGTATCTTTTTAGATAGTCGGGTCTTACACTTGGTAATCAAAATTTGTCTGTACAAAGACTCTTTGAATGTTTTGAACTATTTTGTAGATGTAAAATGTGAGTTTTAGACGTATCTTTTTTACCTGAAAAAAGTTACTTGTGAAGGAGCTATAATTTGAGTCGCAAAAGTAATAAAAGATAAGATTTATTCTTATATTAAAAGATTTCCCACACATGTTGCAACGAGACACAATTATAAAATGCAAACTTAGAGCTGGATGACCCTTTCAGGGACAGTGCGATATAGATCCTTCTTAAAAGTGGAGAAAGGAGTCTGAAGAAATGATAGAATAGGTAGCACCCTCGCCTCACACAGGGGCAACCTGGGTTCAGTCCCCAGGACCCCCTGAGCTCCACAGGAGTGATCACTGAGCACCCCTGAATGTGGCCTCAAAACCAACAAGAAGAATAAAAGTGGGGAAAGAAAACTGTTGATTTAATTTTTAAGATCTTCCTGTTAAGTGTTAATGTTCTCAGTCTATTCTCGTGACTCACCCCTTTTCCATGATCTGGTCAGACTATTTCTCTAAAATACTTGGCCTTTACAGTTCACAAATTATTTTGTGTAAATGATCCCCTTTTAAAAATATTTTTAACAGATTATATTTCCAAATGATCCCTTTTAGATCCAGAAAGCATATTTAAAACATGCACACCGAGAAGTCTTTGCTTTCATTTCCTTCTTGATCCCCTACTGGCAAAGCTACTGGTTTCTCTTTCATTCTTCCCGAGATTGTTCTTGTGTGTACAAATTAAGAGCATTGTAGTTCTTCATGCTGGTGATACAGCAGAAGGCTTTTCCCCACACAAGTTCAGCTTGCGGGTTCGAATTGTCGTGTCTTTCTCTTTGTATTTGTATTTCTCTTATGAATATAATTGAAGGGCTTTTTGGGGGGGGGGGGGCTTGGCACAAGAAGTAAGTGTCCATGCTAATTTTGGGTGAACTGTATAATCATGGCCTTATTTTTTGTTGTCGAGTTCGTGGTATTCTTGGTTTGTAGGAAATCCAAACGAATTATTATCAAGCCAGAATTTTTAAAACATTCAAAGATAGTTTTAATTATTTATCATGGGCTTACAATGCTATGAAATTTCAGTAGTGTGTGTGTGTGTGTGTGTGAGAGAGAGAGAGAGAGAGAGAGAGAGAGAGAGAGAGAGAGAGAGAGAGAGAGAGAGAGAGAAATGCAGGCACCTCTCTCTCCTCCCGCCACCAAAATTCCAGTGGCATTTCACCATCTAAGAACTCCTCATTTCAGCAGCAGGTCATTTGGCTTGATTTAGTCCTATTTCACAAACGAATGAAAATCATTAATTTTCTCTCACTTTCTCATATTTTCTCAATTGGCATGCTCACCTCTAGATCTATCCAGTTTGTCCCAAATGGCATAATTTTCAAGGTGACATCACCTTCAGCGTCTTTATCCAGTTATTTGTTGAACATTTAGGATGATGCTGTGTTTTGGCTATTATGCGTAATGCTACCACAGATAACCTTTGGAATCAATATTTTCTATTTTTCAGTAGCTAGGAGTGGTATTGATTCAGCTGGAATCCTAAGGGTGTTCTTTATGGGTTGTTTCTTTGTTGTTGTTTGTTTTTTGTTTGTTTTTGGCTTTTGTTGGGTCACACCCAGTGATGCTCAGGGCTTACTCCTGGCTCTTCACTCAGAAATTACTCCTGGCAGTGCTTGGAGGAGCCATATGGGATGCTGGGGATTGAACCTCAGTTGGCTGTGTGTAAGGAAAATGCCCTACGCACGGTATTATTGCTCCAGCCCCCCTAGGTTATATTTTAAATTAAATTTTAGAGGAAAGGAGCCAGGGAAATAGTAAACCTCCACTTGCCTCGCTCATAGCTAGCCAAAATTCAGCCCCAGCACCATATAATGGTCTTCTGAGCACAGAGCCAAGAATAAGTCCCTCGAAAACTAAAAAAATTAAAAAATAATAAAATAAAAATTTTTAAAAATGGTTTTACTTTATCCATGGGCTGGAGTGATAGCACAGTGGTAGGGCGTTTGCCTTGCACGCAGCCCACATGGCCGACCCGAGTTCGATTCCTCCGCCCCTCTCGGAGAGCCCGGCAAGCTACCGAGAGTATCTCGCCCGCTCGACAGAGCCCGGCAAGCTCCCCGTGACGTATTCGATATGCCAGACACAGTAACAACAAGTCTCACGATGGAGATGTTACTGGGCTCGACGGACAACGGGAGGACGGTGCTGCTTCATCCATGCCACTTCAGCTCTGCTGTTTAAAAGACTGATTTACAAAAAAGTTTTATTTTGTGTTGGTGAGAAAACACTATATTTATGAATCCAATTAAAGTGAAAATTCCAGTTGAAGTAAACATAAATCTAATAATAAAATAAACCTATGCATATTTCAGTTCGTCTTTATTCATTTTAAGTTTGAGGTCTTTTTTTTAAGGTCAGGTAACGCAGTTTAACAATAGTTTTGAAGTCACTGGTTCATAGTTGAGACCTGCTGCACCAGCTTGTCCACCAGTGTTTCAGATCATTTTATCCTTTAATGAAAAAATATTTTAGAACATAAATTCTATCACACATCTACATACCTGGATACCCGATTTTGCCATGTCTATGTGAGATGTTTTTCTGTTTTGTGTAGGATGAAATATAAGTATAGCTAGAATCTCATCTTTTTTTCCCCCCTGAGAAACTGTAGCAATTCTAAAGTATCTGTTATTCCTGGGATAAGTGAGGTACTACTCTTTTTATGTTAAAATTCTATATGAATGTAATGTTAATTAAGTTTTTCCTGTGTGGCTTTGGATGATATCATCATGTTGGATTCAGTGAGCAGCACTGTCCATCTCATATAGTACTTTGTGTTTACCTCTAAAATTCTAAGCCTGTCCTTCACCAGACATTCAAACCATTTCCCTGACTTTCCCATACTCTTTCTCCCTTCCCTTGTGACAGCCACGAATTTGGTCCTAGAGTCTAGAAGTTTATTTTTTTGTGATTTATGGTGTATCCACGTGTATATGTGCTACACTTAATGAAATCATTTTCTTTTTCTTACGTCACTAAGCTTAATACCCTTTCGGTCAGGGATTGGGCCAGCGTGGCCCTCTGGCCAGCCCTGGCATCCGCGATCTATTCCTGAGACGAGATGGGTCAGGCGCTTGTGCTTTTTGTCAGCAGCTGCAGCCTGTCTGCCTGGATTGTCTGATCTGCAAAATGATGTTACACATCTCTAGATGACCCTGGTCAAGAAACAGTTCGGGGTGTGTGTGTGTGTGTGTGTGTGTGTGTGTGTGTGTGTGTGCGCGCGCGCGCGTGCGCGCACGTGCGCACGCATGTGCACTTATGTAGCTGAATAGTATTTCACTGTGTATATATACCCCCTTTTTAAAAAAATCCATTTCTCACTGTAGTGGACACTTGGTTGTTTCCGATTCTTGATTGTGAACAATTTGTGATGAATTTGGGACATCTCTTTAATCAGTCTTTTTGTATTCTTCAGGTAATACACAGAAGCAGAATAACTGGATCATATGGAATTTCTGTTTTTAAATTTGGGGTTGTATGGTTTTGGAGGGGGGGGGTTTCTGTGTGCTTGTTTTTAACAATCTCCGCAGTTTTCCACAATGACTCCATCAATTTACATTCCCGTCAACGATATACAAGATTCCTCTCTCTGCACATCTTTCCCAGCAGATGTGCAGTGTCTTCTCCCGTTCAGTGGGGTCTGTTTTTATTAGCTCTGTTATCTCTCGTTTGGTGATTTGTCAGGGTTGAATAACAGAAGCGTATTTTCCATTATTTTCCAATTTCACACAACAGACTCTCAGCTACATTTTAGCAGTGAATGAATAAAACAATTGAGTTATACTTAAGATTCACCTAAAGCCATTCATCGGGAATGTTTCTGCTTTACTCTCTCCAGGTCCTCCCTTGGTTGTTGTTGTTGATGACTGGGGGTGGAGGAGGAAGTCACACCCTGGGCCGGCCGTGGTACCAGGGATCAGACAGACCGAGCCGGGGCCTTCATTTGCTCACATCTGCTCATGTGGGGTAGTGCTAGGGACCAGATTCTTGTTTCCCTCATGCAAAGCAGTTGCTCTACAGTGAATCACATCCCTGGGCCCTAAACTTGTTTTCACAAAAAGCGTTTCTGAAGAATCAGATGACTCTCTTTCAATGCTTTTTACGGCTTAGGAGCTGCTCATTAGGAAGTAATCTACTCCAGTTGTCTTTGTTAGTAGATTCTATTTTTAGTAACAGTCCATTCTGTTTTACATCTTAGTCATATACTTTTTAAATCGAATCAAGATGAATTACAAAGTCCCAAAGATACTATGATTGAATGCAGGCACCCATTGTTTTAATACTCATCTCTTCAGCAGTGTCCACTCTCCTCCACCAGTGTCCCCAGATACTTTCCCCTTTCCCACGGTCCTCGTTTCCCTTTCCCAGCTGATCCCTGGGCAGGCTTCCTCCTCAAGACCCGTTCTGCTCTTTATTTCTCTTGCTGTTGGGCATTTGATGTTCCCCCCTGAGGTGCCTCTCTGCCCCACGCGGGAGAGAGATCACTCTGAGTCTGGCTGACTTCACTCAGTCTGATACTCCCCAGATCCATCCATATTGCACCAGGTTGCATCATTTTATTTGTTTGTTTGTTTATTTTATGTCTGAGTAGTTCTCTAAACGCCGAGTGCTTCCTCTTTAGAATGCTCAGTCATGTTCGATTTTCCTTTCATTTCTCTGTATGTTTTCCAGCCTCATGTCTCCTTGAACAGCAACACCAAAAAATTATTCCAAGTTATAAGTTGTCTACTTCTCACTGATGTGTCAACATAACTAAATAGATCTTTATAGATAAAAACAATTAGCAGTACTGGAGGATTGGAGTGTCTCTGTAACCAAGCAGGCTAGGAATGGAATGATCTTTTTATAAAAGGAGCGCCATACCCCATTTTTGTGATCGGTCAGAAATGTCACTTATTGTGGAGTCAAAACTAAGTTTTATTTCTAGAACTATATTCAAGCCATATAATATTTTGCCTCTCAAATAGAACTTGCAGTGAGATACGTTGCATTTTAAAGATCGTTTTTATTTTCATTTTTTAGACAGGTGCTCTAGTTCACAGCTATAGGGGAACAGGTGGAATTTTTGAAGTTTGCTGGAATGCAGCAGGAGACAAAGTTGGAGCCAGTGCATCAGATGGTTCAGTAAGTATCAGAAAATGTTTTCAAAGTGCGAGCATCAGAATAGGGAAACTAATTGCCTCTGCAGTAATGGCCTCAAAACTATGATTATCAGAAATGCCACATTTTACTATCTCATGGTTGTGGCCTGTTTTTTTTGTTTGTTTTTAGTTCTAAAATTGGCTTAGAACCTTTCATTGCATAGTTGTCACATTCACTGCTGAGAAAGGTCAGTGGCAAGCAATTGGATGTGCCGTTGTCCTCTTGTATACTTCGAGCTCTGGGTCTCAAGTGCATTCTCAGTATATTCCCGAAAGCTGACTTGTATGGTTCAGTACTCCTGTGGTACCAGTGGTACCGGCACTCAGTCTTGTGAAGAGCTGTAGGAATAAGAAGAGGCAGTAGACAGATGCGTCCCCACCCTGAATCGTCCTATGGTACGTCTTCCCACTTCAGTTTGGACTGTTCTATTTCAGTGCCGATTCGTGAGTATTCCATATATCCTAATCTCACCAAGACAATTTAATAATAAATGAATTTTATGGAATACCAGCACAGATTTTTTCTTTCTTTTCAGTGGGGTTCCTTAATGGTGTGTGTTCAGCGATCACTCCTGGCAGTGCTCAGGGGTCCATATGTCATGCCAGGAATCAAACCCAGGTTAGCTGTGTAGAACGCAAACACCTTATCTGCTGAACTATCACTCCAGCCCCACAATATTTTCTTTTAAAAGTCACTTAATGGTCATTCACATGCACTTTTTTTTTTGAGTATGAAAAATTTGGCATAAAATTAGTGACAATTATGCAGTGAAATGTGAGAAATTTTATGATAGTTTATCTTTTTTAACTGAAGACATTCTTCATTCAAATACAAATAACGGGCTCTGTCATGAGAATATCTTCGTTGTCAAATGAACAAATCTTTTAGTGTAACATTTATTAGAGAAATGAATACAGTAAAATACCACTCAGAGAGAGAATGTTTTTCAGTTCATATTTCTAGCCTCTCTACCCTACTACCGAGTGTTGATGGGCTCATGAAAGGTAGTAGAGCTTACTGGGTCCTGTATTGTGACTGAGAGACTTTCAGGATGCGGTTCATCAACTCTTAACATAATATCCCTGGCATCAGATGGCTATACCTCCCAGTAGTTGATTTCCAGGGTTCGGAGAGCATAAGAAAAGTAGAAAATGCAGCATCGTTAGCTGTTTACTGGAGCCATCGTGTTGTGATACTCTTAGGATTTGATCTGTGTTTCTTCCTCTGACTGTTTTAGACATGGTCATTTCCTCCACTGACCTAGATAAGCCTTTCTCCTTTCTCTTAAGTACCTCTTGCCATGATTATTGCTTTGCGAATTTTGTGACATTGGACACATGGATTCCAAACTGTACCGAACAGAGAAGTTTGTCTTAAAAATGTTCCTTGCTGTTGTTAATACAGTGGTTGATTCTTTTCATTTCTTGCAGGTTTGTGTATTAGACCTTCGGAAATAGCGCTACTAGTTGGAAGCCATGGACCGACTATGAATGTGTACATAGCCAAAATGACTGTCCCTGACCCCTGTACTGCTATAGTCCCACTTGAACCATGGCCAGTCCACTACAGCCAAATCTAAATGAAATATATACATACAGTGTATAGAAACAAAATTGCACCCTGAAGATGATGACAGAATTTTGTCACAGCTTGTGAATTCTGTTCACCAAGTGCTGGAATCTAATCTGCTGTGCCCCTAAAATAGCATTTAGATGTTTTGGATATGAGAAACAGAAGAGAGAAGTGCGCGTGACAAAAGCAGCCCAATACGCGTACCAGTGTGGATTGTAATGACAGCCTTGTTTCTCCCCTGAATCAGCAGACACCATGGATTATATTCTTTTTTCCCTTCAGTAGTTGAGCAGTTTGTATGTACAGAGAAAATGGACTTAGAAAAAACTTGCAGCAGTAGTTTGTCCTTGCTTTTTAACTTTGTTTTTGGTTTAGTTATGGATGCATGAAGTAAGGGAGTGAATCAGTTTCTTGTTTATATTTTTTTCACCTTTTAAACAAAAAAAAAAATTCTTAAAAATATTTTAAAGCATTCTTTTGAAGAGATAGATGTTTGGTACATTTTATGGCTCCCAGAGCATATATTCAATTGGTGCATGTTGTGGAAGGGGAATTGGAAATTAAATGAAAATATATGACTTTGGTCATGTCAATCTGTTAGACACATCAGTAAAAGGGTATTATGCTCTGTTTTTTTTTTTTGTTGTTGTTGTTGTTGTTTGTTTTTTGTCTTTGGTTTTTTTTTTTTTTGGTTTTCGTTTTTGTTTGTTTTGGTGATGTGGCTTAAATGCAATAGTTTCTTTTTGGGGACATATTTCTGTCAATTAAAGACTAGAAGGGCACAAAAAATTTTTTAATACCATAGAGAAGATGCATTAAAATAAATCTTCTGATGTTTTGTAGCCATAACTAAATTATGGTTAAAATGTGCACTATTGTGAAAAGGAGCAAAGTAGGTTTGGTTTTATGTTGTTTGTTTATTTGTTTTGCTTTGTTTTTTAAGAGATTAAAATGTTTCTGGATAAGGATTAGCTTCTCAAAGTGTCCATCATTCTGTGTAGAAGCTGAAGTGTGTAATATAACCAAACTCCAGTATTAAAAATCTCTCATGTTATTTTTCTTTATACAAAGCAAGATAACGGCATCTAACACTGCCATTACATGGCAAAATGTTTGCTACCTTAGTTTAAAAAACAATCTTTAAAACAAAAGACTTGCTTCAAGGTGTTTTTAAATAGCAACGATTCAGAATTTTTTTAAAAAAGAGTATAATTGCACTAACCTCCCTGCTGCTCTGATTCTGCATTTGTGGTACTTGTGACTACATATTTTCAAGTATAGATAGATTAAGCTGCTATTTTTTTTTCAGTAATCACTACTATATCATGTCTTTTACTCTGTTTATAATATCAAGTATTTTCTTAAAGATATCTAGGTATCAGATCAAACCTTGTGCTCATGCAACTAAAAGCTAAAATATACAGAATTTACAAATGATAGCATGGGGCTATGTTTATATGTGTGATTAACGGGGTTTGTCATGATTAATATTTGAATCCAGAAGAGTCAATTTTGAAGAGAATAGTTGTCAAATTTATGTCTCAGATTTTAATTAAGGAATCATTTGTTATCGAGCTTAGCAAATTCATAACACTATTTCTGTCACTAATTATTTTGGGGCTTTTACTATTGAAATTCTAACCTATATTTTAAGTAGAAACTGAATTAACCCAAGTAATGCAGCTTTAATTTTCAGCATTTGTTGTTTTTCTATTTTTACAAAACAGCATTGATTGAAGCAAGTCTTGGTTTTACTAAGGTAGGATAGCATTTGCTATTGGTAAAGAAAATATACATAATTCCACAACACATTGTTAAATATATCCCAGTTGTTGTTAGTGGGGACTATGATACTGTAATAATATTTTTAAAAATTTACATCCAGAGAGGCAGTCATTCATGATGGTTTTGTGCCAGCTGTTTTTAGGGTTTTGGATCACATTATAGATATTTAGAACTATTACCCTGTGACTTACGTAGGAAACCTAATATGCTGAATATCTGGCACTTGAAATCCTGCTTTTATTGCTAGAGGTCCACATCTACGGTTGGCCTCTGTTGTTGTTTTAAAAAAATAAATAAAAATAAAAAAATCTGTGCAATAATTTTTAAATGTGCTCCCAGGAATAGACACAAATGTTTTGAGTATGTTTAAGCTGCATTTCCTTTAGCGATGCATCTGTCAATTGCACTGAATTTAAATCTGAAAGTCATAGGTGATTATTGATAGTACTTTTGTATTTTGATATGGACAATTTATTCATTTGCATACAGTGATTAACTTTCTTTCCCATTTGATCAAAAGAGAGTTAAACAGTTCCGCAATAGAGCTGCCAAAGTAGACAGCTACATTCTTATGGTATTGTCATCATTTGTTTCTTCTTTTTTTTTTCATCTTTAGCTATTTTACGTAAGATTAATAGTCACAGTAGGACATATCACAGAGTCTGAATACAGAGCTTTATTGTCCTGAAGTCTTGGGTCTTTTAAGTCTGAACTTCATCCGGAAGGTGTCCGTTTCGTGGGCGTGGGTTCTTTCTGAGCATCTGATTGTTTATTTTTGCTGCTGTTCTCAATATCATCATTGCCTGCTGATGTGCCATGATGCTGCTCCAACTGACAGAAAAAAAAGATTGCCTCTAATTTGAGCAGTGACTTGATTGTATGAGACCGACTATGTTTCACAATCTGTTAAATTCTGTATTTGAGGTTCTTGCTCATTTTCCTTCTATTTTTTTTTTTTGAGAACCTATTCATGAAGATCAACTGATTCCAGTAGATTTTCTATGGTATTTATCGTATATCATTGTATAAGCTACTGTAAGAAACTGATAAGGAAAAATAGAAAGGAAAACTTGAATGAGTCTTTCTTGATTTAAATAGTGTAAAGAAATAGCAGCTGTCCCTATTAATTAAACATCATAAAGGATCATTCTTTATTTCTTCTCTGTGTAGGAAGTCTACTGAGTTCTTCCCTTGGTTCCAAATCCCATTTCTTATTCTTGATCAGGTACCATCATTGACTTTCACATGACTTTTAGAAGTTATGACTTTTCTTTTTTTTAGTAGGTATTAGGGTATAAAAATCTGTTTCACTTATTCTCTGGGTAAGTATGTTTTAGGATTAAAAAAAAAAACCTTTTACCGATACTGAAAGTGCCTCCTTTTGTGGTGTAAAAAATAAATTATGGTGCAAAAAGTAATCATTAGGTTGAATTACATGAAGGTTTTTTGCTTTTTGACATATAAAAATGTCAAGAGAAAGGCCAAAGATTTGTACTTTTTCACTTATAAAGCACTCCTTTTTTCCTTAAACTTCTTTCTGTCAAATTAGATTTAATGAGAGAGTACTATTTTTAAGGAGCTGTTTATGTAGAATGATTTTGTTAAGAGTGATGTAAACTATTACTGAGTAGAGGACTGAAGAGGAGTATGCATTTTTGCCATGTGAAGGGATCACAGAGGACCATCCTTACATGAGCAAAAGTGGATTCCTAGCTAGGCAGAAAAATAAATCTCAAATGCAGTGCTATTTGCTCTTTCAAAGCAGTTTTCATTTTTTAAAGCACATTGTACATTTCTATAGAACCTGCTTCTATTCTTGCATGCTCATGATGGTACTTGCATTTGGTGAATTACTGTTGACAGTTTTCACAGAAATCCTATTTCATGGACCAACATTGTGGCATGGCAGCAAATGCCAACATTTTGGGGGAATAGCAGCAAATCTACAAGAGACCCTGATTGGTTTTGGTTTTGGTTTGTTTCCATTTTCGTTTTCCCTTCCCAAACAGCAGGGACGGAAGGAGAGGACAGAAGTTATGAATCACTTCTTCCAGTAGTAGCTCTGAAGTGTCACATTCAATATCAGTTTTTTTAAACATGATTCTAGTTAATTGTAGGAGCGAGAAAAGAGAAAGTGTTCACTTTTTTAATACACTGATTTAGAAATTTGATGTCTTATATCAGTAGTTCTGAAGTATTAATAGCATCCTTTATTTCTTGCCTTTGTGTTGACAGTGTTGAAGCAGGGTGAATAACTAGGGCATATTTTTTCCCCTTGAGTTAAGCAGGCTGTTTCATGATGTTTTTCTTTAGTTTCTGGATAAGTTCAAGAAAACATTCTGCATGTTGTATTTAGTCTGATGTATTTCTCCATCTCATTGAAAACAAAACACACAGGCTGCATTACATAGCTCTGTAATCCCTAAATTCAGAATTTTTCTTCTTTCCTGACTTTGACATTGTAGCGAGAACGTTCTTATTTTGATTTTTACAAATCCTTTGGGTCTAATTCTGTGAGCCTACCTATAGCACTGGATTAAATGTCTGCATCATTTCTTTAGTTATCCAGTTAACTTTAAAACTGTTGTAAAAGTGTAAACCAGCCCATGACAGTTTTTTGTACATGTTAAAGAACTTTATTATTGTTCAGTTTTCATGACTATTGTGTAAGGAAGACTGATATAGATGTTCTATGCTGTCCTGGACCATGTTAATTACACTTACGATGTATTTTGGTTCCACATCACAATGATTTGTCCCCAATGACCCTTTTCTCCTTTCTAGGCACATTTTTGTTGTTGTTGTTGTTGTCGTCGCAGTTTCCCTTTGCATTGTATTGCTTTGACAACTGTAATTTGAATCAGATCTGAAAGAGGTCCAGAATAAAATATATTTTGATATTATGTTGGCTGTGTACATATGTAAAACCTTTGATATCTATGTAGTTTGTATAGACTCTTTACTAGCCAAGTCAAGAGAGAGGGATGCTATTTCTTGTTTACAATTTCTTGTTTACATTTTAATTGCATTTACTCCTCCAATGTTCAATTGTAGAATAAACTTTTTGCGGAGTCAGTCTTCATAACCTATGTCTATTCTCTCCCCTCTTGGTGTAACCAATGAAAATAGCTGCCATGAGAACCCAAGCCACTGTTTTTCATAAACGTTGTTTTCCAAGTTCTCTAGTTTAAAGCCCATAGATAGAATGACGAAATTTACTATTTTATTACTGCTCACGGGAAAATGAGATTTTTTAAATGAAGGGATTATTTACTATTTTTATTACAGAGTAATAGAGCATTTAATCAGCTGAGGATAACATTTCCTTTTGAATTATTTTGAAAACTCAATGTTGTATTTGGGGGACGTTATTTCACAAATTTAAGAGAGACCCCACATCCGTTTGTTTGGCATGTCATTGAGCCACAAAACACATATGGATGATTTTTTTAAGGCAGAATGCTCAACTTTTCCTTAATGACAGTTTCTTCTTCACATACACTTAATAACGTCACAATTCTCTTATATCTAGTTGCTTCTGTTGCTAGAGGACTTTATAGTAATCAATCTGTGAGGAAAGAAACTAGACCTGTTGCAGTTTAAGTCAGTTCCAACTCCTTCAGTTAGAAACTTTTTAAAAGAAGCATTTACCACCTTCTCCCCCACTCCCCCTTTTTTTTAAGGCAACCTGATCTTTGTTTCTTCAAACTTTTCCTTCACTTTCTTAAAGCAGAAATTTATGTAGGAATACCTTTGATATGTATTATTAAATGACAAGCTACTGCAGTTGCTAGAACCTTCTGGCAGCTTTTTATTTTCAAAGGGTTAATTTAATTTGCATGGCATAATGGTTAGTAGTAATTCTGCATTTTATACTTTTTTAAAAAGTGTTGGAGTACTAAGGACTAGAATCCCCATAGGCGTTAGGGAAAATAAACAAATTCGAGTAGTCATAGGGATTATTTTTAATTTCACAGTTCTTATACTTTATAATACAAGATTTTTTTTCAACCCATTATACTGTAGCATATCAGATTAAAGTTTACTGTTTCCCTGAGTACATTCATTTGCAAAATGCAGTGGAGGAAAAGACACTCTGGACAGTAGTTTTATGGTGCTTTTCTCTGCTGTACCAAAGCGCTTTGTCAACGATGAAATGTTAACCCTCTGGTACTAATTTTGCATGTTTCTTCTCAAATGTCATATCTCAATGCTCCTTTGTCCTAACTTGTAATATTTTTGTATTAAATTTTTTAGGAGTTTCTTGTAATTTCTTTATAATTTAAAATATATTAAACACAAAGTCTTTAGTAAAGTACAGAAGACAATTAATGTTTCTTGGTTGTTGGGTTTGTACCATCCACTGTGCAAGCAATTCACAGTTGAAGAATTCAGAGCAGCAGGGTAGAATCTACACAGGGGAAAAGGTACCATGTCTGCAAACTTGCTCGTCTCTGTAGTCAATCATTTAAAAGCGCGTTGACTCTGAAGAGAAAGCCAGGATATTACAACTCTCTAGGGAAGGAAACAAAGGAGATTAACTATGTTGTGCGAATGGAGTATTAGCGTGGATGTCCTCGAGAAAAACCACATCACCCGAACTCAAAAACCTTAGTTGAAGGGTACGAGACAAGTCGGCTGTGGAGTATTCAGCACTGAATGGGTACTACCAGTCTGTAGACTTTTGCAGTAAAACCCACTGTCCTGGGAGGTGATTCTCTGGTAGAAAACGCCACCCTGTTGTCCCAGGTTTCATCCCCAGCAAAGTAAAAGGAAGAATGTCCTGTCACACTGAACAGAGTGTGAGGTCAGACACTTGAAAACATCTTCCTGAATCTCACACATCCAAGACAGGAGATTCTGAGAGCTCTGCACTGGGTCTGGCCCAGCTCCCTTTCCACATCATCTCTTAAGTGGCATTAATTACATTCACCACTTAAGCAGATTAATCATCTGGTCTTCTGCCCTGGCTACCTGAGAAGTAATAGAACTCAGGAGAATAGGAGAGAAATAATTGAACTCGCATTATTATAATGAAGCAATGTCATCCAATAATTGAAACCAAATTTACTAGGACAAAGATGCAGTCGTGTTAGGTTTTCAGATACTTTGAGTGATGTTGAAATGTTTTATGGAAATAAACTTGAGGTTGAATGGAAGTGCTCAAGTTATTAAGGTCTGGTAGTAAATCAGGATAAAACTAAAGGTAAGTACATTTTCCTTTTTACCCATTACTGAGAGTGCATTAAAACCCAATTAGTGAAACATGCCCGACCCGGTGCTTAACAGAGATGGTTATTAACATACCACAAGGTTTGTGTGATGTCTCCAAGCTTGGTTTTGTGCTACAGAATAATGAGTGGGAGGATGGGCTGAGTAGGGCTGTGCCACTGTGATGGTGTTTATTTGACATTACTGCGCTTGTGGACAATTGAGAAATTAAGTTATCTAACCCGCTTAGATAACAAAATGATTCGTGGTTATCTAAAATGCTTTATTGTATTTAGTTTTGGTTTGGGTGCCAAACTAGTACTCAAGGCTTACTGCTTGTGATCTTGGGGGACCAGATTGTGGTGCCAGGATTCAAACTCGAGTCAACTGGGTGCAAGGCTACTGTCTTAATTCCCTGTACTCTCTCTCCAGCCCAACTTCACGGTTTCAAGCTAACATTTATAAGGACAAATGCAACAGTTGAATTTCAGGTATAACAAGCACTTAAAAAAATGACCACCCACAGGGTTTCGAATATGTTAATTTTTTTTAAGTAATCATTTATAGGGGATTCTTTTTGTACGCAAATCTTGGGAAAATGCTTATTACTGTGTTTACTCAGGATGCGTACAGAAAGTGGAGAATAATTTCTACGACTAAATGACAATCAGGTAGCAAAAGTGAATAAAACAGTCTTTAATTTAGGCACTGTGATTTACAATGTCATTTGTAGGATTTCAGGCTTACAGTGTTCCAACTCCAAAGTCACCTCCAGTGTCAGTGTCGAAGAGAAAAAATATAACAAACCCCAAATTAACAAACGTTTAAAAATTTATTTCTTATGTATTTCTTATATGTTTGAACACATTTTTGCCTGCAGTTTGGGGTGTGTAGTTCTCACTGCTAAAGTTTCTAAGGTCCCTCATCAATGCCCCTATGTTACTACCTAGTTGCCTTTTCCCCCTTCCTTGACATTCTCACTTCAGTAACTCAGGACCAAGATTTTCCTTATTCACACGGGTACTTTTCATGTCCTTGGCATGCTACTCTATACCAGAGATGAGTAAGAACATCAGGTCTTTGTCCTCCTGACCTAACATGACACCATCCAGTTCCATCCAGGTCGCATTGAACTACATGATTTTCTCCTTTTCCACTAGGACTGGTTGTTGCCAGTCTCTTGTATCAGCCAGTCTTACTAGGGTGAGATGATATTGTCATTTTCATTTCCATTTCCATGATGGCAAGTGATGAACACTTTCTGGTCAGCCATACATTCTCTTCTTGGAAGTGTCTGCTCATTTCGTCCCCATTGTTTGAAGGGATTATTGGTTATCGTTGAGTTTTATGAGAGCTCTGTATATCTTAGATATGAGTCCTTTATTTTGAAATAAATCTCCCATTCAATAGGGTGTCTTTTAATTTAGCTTGAGTTTATTCTGTCATCAGGAACATTTTAATTTGATGTGACCCTGTTTTCCTCTATGTAATGATTTACATTCTGGACTAATGTTGAGGTCTTCAGTCGACTTTGAATCAACTTTTGTGTCTGGTGTGAGAGTACAGATCTAGTTCCCCTCCCTTCCTCCCCCCCCCTTTTTTTTTATTACATGTGGTTATCATTTTTCCTAGCACCATCTACAAAAGAGTCTTTCTCTGCTTGACATTAGGCACCCGGCTTCTTTGTCATAAATCAGCTGTACATAGATCTCAGGTTTTAATTCTGGATGTAGTCTTACTGGTTACACAATCCTTGTTACGGTGCCATGCTGTTTTGGTTATTATAGTTTTGTAGTATAATTAAAGTTAGAGACTGCGATACCACCTAACTTCTTTTTTCTCAGAATAGTTTTGGCTATTTGGAGTGAAAAAACTTATTTTTAGATCTACATTTTTAGTGATTAAAAGTTAAAGACAAAGATTTGTTAAACACGGAATATGTTTATGCCATGTTCAGAAATATAGATTAAGTGGAATAATATGTAGGCTGAATTCAGTTATAAACTTGTATCTTACAGAATATTTAGTGACATATGGGCTACTGAGTCCATGTGCTAGAGTAACAGACTTTTTCCACCAGAACTTTTGTTGAGATGCTCTTTTTACTTACTTTTCTCGTCTTGAAATCTCTTTTGATACTTTTTGGGGCAGAGATTTATTTCTTGAGTATATAACATATCCCAAAATGTGTTTTTACTGGTAAGTAAACAAGGGGGATAAGGTGGGAACGTTTTGTTTCTTTAACAGAATGAGAAACATCTGGACTTGATGCTTTCCTAACTCCAGAGTCGTTTCAGAAGTTTCAAGTTCCATCATTGCAAATGTCCAGGGGTCTCTAACAGTTTGGGGTATTGACTTGGAGAGTTTGCCTGGCCATGTATGTGCCAGGGTCCCCAAAGGCCTCTCTATATTTTATCGCTTATTAGCATTGATTAGCAATTTTAGATAGACGTTTATCTAAACTGTGAGAGATAGTCAGTTTAAATTGCACCTGCTTGTACCAGCACGTACAGTTGAAGCAGTATTTATTGATTCTTTCCCATTAAAGGCAGAAACATCTCAACATCTCGCTTCAGTAAGTTTTGACCTCGCCTCCATCAGGTTTCCTAAAGAAGCTACACAGGAAACAGTGTATGAACCCAGTGGCCTCTTCTTTCATTAACTACATTAGCATCACCCAGTTCATCTGGAG